TTTACACCTGACCATGAGAGGCTCCTCCCCCTCTCCTGATTTGCTGGGGTCCTCCCGAAGCCCTGCCTTCTCCTTTGATGCATCGCTGGTGAGGCCAAACGAAAAGCAAATAACATTTTAGAGTTTAAAGTAAAATGTTAAAGTAACACTTCTTTCTCCTTTATTATACTTTTTCAGGTACGACGCTCTCCAGAGGATGGAGGCCTTTCATTGGCTGCTCCACCAAAGGGTCGGTACAAACAGCTGACCAATGCAACATCTCATGAGGCTTTGGTGACACCAAACAGCTCACCATCTAAATCCTGCCCATCCTCCGACAGCTCACCTGCCTACATGAGGAGGAACAGAAGGCCCGACAGCGAAGGTAAACACACCTGGAAACACCTGGACGCATGTCTGGAGAATATTCTTTCATCTTATTCTGAAGCACACCCAAACCTCTCCAGACGGCCTTCACACTGGTTCCTGTTTTTGTGTGTTTGACAGTTCTGGTTTCTGATAGGAGTCGAGACACAAGTCCAGTAGATCCTGGAAGTCCAACTGTCATTTTTGACAAAAAGACAAAGAGACGCTTCTTAGATCTGGGGTGAGACTGAGCTGCTGTTTGTAAATTACTGTTTAAATTTAGATGAGTTCCTATTTAACTTCTGATCCGTTTGGACCAGTTCTGATTTCTTCACATTACATTAAAAGCAGCTTCAGAAGTAAACATTTGCCCTAACTGGAACCAGTTTTTCAGGTCCAGTATTGTATAAAGAACCAAATGAATGGGAACCAAAATACTGTAAAATAGTTTTTGAAGGGAACTCTGAAACCCAAATGACGGAACATGTAGCTGCTGATGGGTTGGATCAAGTTCTTCTAACCCATTTGAAACAGCTGTTTCTTAATTGTTGTGTTTTCGAGTTAACTTCTGGGCTGTTTGTTTCCACCAGAACTTGTCTTTTACCTGTTCAGCTAGGTGTAGGAGGTAGAATGTCACCAATAAAACAGTGATAATAAAACAGTCTAAGTGTCTCTGGTTCTTTGTGTCTTCAGGGTGACACTCAGACGTTCCTACATCAGAGTGAGGAAAGATAAATCCAACAGGCTCTCTGTAGGCAGCAGGTGGGTCTAACAGGCAAAAAACGGGGCTCCACATTGACCAAAGCAGGGGTCTCATTTATCAAACATTGCATAGAATCCTTACTAAAACCGTACTTAAGCTCAGCAAAAAAAATGTACTCATGCAAAGTAGGTTTGTGATCTATCAAACATGGTGTACGCACAGCTGCACGCAATCTCCGCTTCATAAATCGAAGACTAACGAGAAAGTTTCTCGGCTGCATTTTAGTCACATCCCGCCCTCACCACGCCCACTTACTGCCATAAATAGTCAATGAAAAGTGCCTTGTGGATCTCGTGCATATATTCATAAGCTGGCTGTTGCAGCGCTCCGCCAATGACATGGCGACCGGAGATCAAGGCAGATCAAGGAAGCACAATTTCACAGAAGCAGAAATTGAGGTACTTGTGGGTGAGGTGGAGAAATGAAAGGAAGTGCTTTTGCAAAACAAATAAGAGAAAATCCACGGAGTGGCACAGCGTTGCTGAAGCTGTCAATGTTGTGAGTTCTTCAGAGAGATCTGTGGCGGATGTAAAAAAATCATCCAATTGGGACTCAGTCCCCAGACTCCCAGGTGAAAGTCACACGAGCTAACCAGTCACCCAAACGGAGATCTCCCTTGTCCAGGTAGCAGGGCGCATGATCAATCGAGTCACAGTGACACGACACACACACTGTCACAGATGCATGACATTCTGTCTCAATCTGTCCCCCTGCTGACTTTCTGCATTCGGTATTCTGGCTTCAGGCTGTGTGTGTGCGCGCGTGTGTGTGTGCATGTGGGGGGTCTTGTTCTGTGTGAAAACAAAGCAGTACAAGTGATAATGCTGCAGGATTTCATAATTTTATCTTCTCAGCAGCAGTACTGCAGGTGCTCTCCATGTCCAAAAAGTGCGTAAGCAAGGTCCTTAGTCAACTTAAAGTTGCGCACATTTTTCTGCTAAGTTTTCTTTCATAAATCCCAAAGTTTGCGTGGAAAGTTGCTTACGCAGTTTTCCGACCCCGTTTTGTGCATAAGCAAGCTTGATAAATGAGGCCCTTGGTCAGTAAGACAGTTCCTAATGTTTTCTGGACTTTGTGTTTGGACCTCAGAGAGCCGTCTGAGAGTCCATCTCGCTCCTCTGGATCTTTTGTCTCTTTCTCCTGGTTCACTGAAGGTCGAGGATCATTTTCCTCCTCTGGGACTCCTCCATGTTCACCCAAAATAGCACCACTGAGCCCACAGAGGCCCTGCAAGTCCCACTCCCAGGTATGGATGTGGTTCTGATTGAAACCTAAAGTCTAACCAGATTTGACTGAATGATTTAACAAAGAAAAAGAAACAGTCTTTTATTGTGAAGGGATCTCTGACTTTAAAGGAACGGTTTGGAATTGAACATTAAAAACAAAGTTCTT